CATTTATCGGTATGAATGACATATCATTTATTTATTATGGTAACCCTAATGGAAGGAATTAGGGCCGTGTACATGAGCTTTGGTTGGGTTTAATAGGTCTTGGATTCCATAAACGAGAATTGGTTATTTCCTCCCATTTATCTTTGGGTCTAAGTAAATGGTGATAACGGATTGTGACAATTCTTTTGATATACCAAATGGTACAAAACTTATGGGTAGTGTATATTAGTGGCGGATCCCAACAGTCGAGTAGAGTGAAAGGATCACAACCCCTAATATCACATTTAGGGTTTAAGGTAGAAATGAGATTGAGAAGAGACAAATGTATGAATGACAATTATATGTGTACAAAAAGTAAACTCAATTTAAAGTTAATAATATTATTAATGATTGTAAATAAGTGGACAACATTTGGAGTCAACTGCTTACTTGAACCCAAAACCGAAAACCAGAGACTCTAGGTTCGATCTCTAGTGAAGTCGCAAGACTAAGGATTGCTTATTTTTCCATAAAAAAAATGAAACGGGCTTGGTTAATTTTATTTAACAAATTGGTTTTCGTTAATAGACTCATTCATTGATCCTCAGAAAAAAATTAATGATTGTAAATAAGTGGACAACATTTGGAGTCAACTGCTTACTTGAACCCAAAACCGAAAACCAGAGACTCTAGGTTCGATCTCTAGTGAAGTCGCAAGACTAAGGATTGCTTATTTTTCCATAAAAAAAATGAAACGGGCTTGGTTAATTTTATTTAACAAATTGGTTTTCGTTAATAGACTCATTCATTGATCCTCAGAAAAAAATTCTCTTACTTTGGTAAGAGCTTTATTTTGGAGTCGTCACTCTCTTTAGGGAACTTCTCAAATTAGTCGATTTTTTGAAATCCTCTTTAGGGAAACTTCTCAAATTAGTCGATTCTTTAAAATCGACTAACTCGATTTTGAACCAGAGACTGAGTAAGGGGGTTAGGTATGATTTTAGGAAGGTGTTAGGCACTCAAATCGCCTAGTTTAAACCAACCTCCTAATTGTCATAATGATTTAATAATAAGATTAACTAAAATTGAGATGCAAAAATGGTTTTAATGACATTTTTAAAGAAATGTCAAACATGCAAATAATCGCATATATTAGACATAAAATTAAATCATCCATAAGAAAGGAGGAAGGAGAAAAGAGTTGCAAACCATAACCTAAGAATACAATCTACTTGGATCCCATTAAAATTTCCCAACCAAACTAATTTATTACAATCAAGCGATAATAGGACCCATTTTGGGTACTTTACATTTGGCTAATTTAGTAAACCAAAAGCAATAAAGAACCATCCATGAGAAATAAACACAATACCCAAATAAAATTTACAGGAACATAACCCATCCACAAAATCATAAACACATTCAACCACTCAACAAATGAACGTATGATGCATGTTTAGTTCATAGTTAACATCTAATGGGTTAGCATAAAAACTATAAAGTAATAAATAAAAGAGCAGGAATTTAAAGGCAGAAAATGAAGAGTGCATAAAAAATAAATGACAAATACTTAAATACAAGAAATTTAAAGATTAAGACAAGATTAGAGTTCAAGATCTTGATATTTATCATGACTAATGAACAAATACACCCATCGCTACTCCAAACCTTGTTTATTAGTACTAATCCAATCCATTTGTGGTTAAAAAGGCATTCTAGACAGATAAAGTCCGGTGTTTTACCACTGGATCTCTGAATCGGGTCCATTTTATTGATTTTTACTGTTCTGGATCTTTGAACTGAAGTTTCGCATGCCACAGGAGAAGTGGCGTGCGCCACTTGGAAGGGGCGTGCGCCACACGTAGTGACTTTAGGTACTTACCCTGATCAGGTGGCCACAGAGTGAAAATAGAGCCTCAGAAGCGTGTCTGTGAAGAAGTGGTGCATGCCACTTGCTTGTGGCGAACGCCACATGTAGTGGCTTGTACCATTACTATTCTTTGTGCACCACTTCAATGCAGACAGTCCTTTTTTGGGTTGATCCTGGGTTTCCCTCACAACCAAACTTAAGAATGGTGATTTAGCACCAAAATAAAAAGAAAAAGAGGTGGAGAAAGAGATTAATGGCTCTCAAAATTTATCTTTTGGAGATTTCCAAAGATTTTTGAGAGATTGAATGCAAAAACCCTAAAAGTTGAGTCCTTGGATCAAAGATCCGAGTTTAAGATCTAGATGAACGTGTTTATGGACTTTTAATCAATACTTAAGGATTTTGTAATCACAAATGAATGAATAACAACCTAGATCAAAGTGGAAAACACAAGTTTTTCCTTTGATTTGGGTTGAGTTTCCAAAATGAAAGAGTTCCTTAAGTTTTTTGCCAAAAGTCCTCCTTACTGAATCCAAGGCCTATTTATAGGCAAATGGGTAGTGTTGCCCCATTATAGGGTTTATGTGGCAAAATTCCACTGATGGGCCCCACAATCGAGCCGGGCTAATTTTTCCAAATTTAGACCGAATGGCACGCAAAACGAAGCGATGCACCGAAAAGTGCACCAGGTGAGCCCAAAGCGCTTCTAGGCCCAATTTCATTGCGAAATGCCCGATTATCCGAAAAAATAAAAATGGTCAAACACGTGCATTATCTCAGCTACGGACCATTGGTTCGAAAATCGGGACGATCGAGAATCCCACTCCAATCTTATGTTGAAAATAAGTTATAATCACTGAGCCATTAGAGGCAAAATTTGAGCGTCTACAGACAGATTCATAAATTGGTCGCTGACTTCTTAGTGACAAGTCTTTGTGCGACGGATCTGTGCAGTCACTAGTTCGTTGCTAATTTACTTCGCATCGATCGCTAAATGGCGTTTTTTTTTTTTAGTGTAGTGAGCCAAATTATAACTTATTTTGTAATTAATAATAACTAAAATTATTGAAAAAAGCAGATAAAAAAGTTCACTTGATAATCATTAACTAAAATAAATAAATAATAGGAAAAAAAAAGTCCTCAGTGGAGGAATGCTATCTTATTTTCAAAAGTAACTTATTTGTTATTAAGTTATAAGAACTAAAATTATTAAACTTAACTTATTTTTTATTAAATATTGCATGTTTAATTATATAAGAAAAATTAAAAAAACCTACAAAAAAATAAAGAATAATAATCAACCAAGAGGGCTCCATATGGACATGAGAAACTTTGATTAGTAGAAACTATGTGATCAAGTTTAAGTATTTAGGAGGATCCAGAAAAGAATGAAAATTGAAGTTTGGGGTTTTCCATACTATTATTCGTAGTATATTTCAACAGTATAACATTTTTATATAATTGTAGTTTTTCTATTTAATTTAATACTTTTTACAGTTTGTCTTTTGGTTAATTGTTTTTTACTTTTGATCTTCAGACAGCAGTGTTCAGCATTAGTATTTTTTTTTTATAGTGTTCAGTAACATAATATTTAAATTAGCCTTTAAAGTAAAGTTTCAAATAACTACCAACTAAATACTACTAAAACAGCTCAAGGTTATCAAATAGCTAATTTTACCGAATAGGCCCTATGGGTATTTGAAAATTTTTTATTACATTCGAAGTTGAATTTCTTTTTTCAAAAATTGCCACAAATCACCAAATCGAATCAAACCAAACTAAATCACATTTATTGATTTAGTTCGGTTAAACACTTTTCATGGTTTGATTCTTTTTTTTCCCCATAATCCCACCATGTAGGTTTAGTTCAGATAAAGCGTCCAAACCAAACTGATCACCCATTCTACGGAGCATTATAAAAGTTTTGGGAAGGAAGATATTCTCCGAGTTTGGATAGAATTGTTCATTGGTTGGTAAATTTGATTCGTTGTGAAAATCATTAAAGCAAAATAAACCGAAATCAATATTCAATTGCACCAGTTTGAAACAAAGTTGAACTTTATTTTTCCACTTTAAAGCAAATTAATTATGATTATGGCAGTATTCATCAATATTTTTTTTTTAATATTTGTTTGATAATATAACATTTAAACTAATTTTTAAAGGTTAAGATATCGTTTTATAAAAAATTAAGATCTGTTCAGTAAAATTAACTGTTATGACAACTGTTAACTGTTTTAGTAACTTTTAGCTGTTAACTGTTTGAGTAGTTTTCATAAAACAGTAAAAGCTAAACATTACATTCATTTAACTTTTTATAAAACACTATCTTAATTTCTAAGAGTTAATTAAAACGCACGCGTTAACTTTTCATAAAATACTACCTTAACCCTAAAAGCTAGTTGAAACGCTATGTTACCAAACACTATAAAAAATAGCATTTAAATTTTCGACCGGTCAAACGCTAAAAGCTACCTAAAAAAACTATTACCAAACACAGCCTTAACCAATATAACGATTAGTTTTTAGCATTTTATAAAAAACTAATCTTCAATATATTTTGGAAAAAAAAAAAATTGAAGCTAGTGTGAAATTATACATGTCTAATAACAGTGGAGCGAGGGAAGATGATAAAAAAAAAGTCACCAATAGAAATAGAGAAAAAGGTGAGAGAAAGGCAGCATTTACATATAGAACTGAAGGAGGGGGCAATGAAGCAGCGAAAGCAGAGAGTGGGGAAGAGGCAGCCAAGGAGAGAGATCGCCGTCGATAGAGCCAAAAGAGAATTCCATATAGAAGCCATTGGAAATTCCTAATCTACATTGGTTTCGTTGACAACAATTTTTCTAATAGTTTTTAGCGTTAAATAATAACATAGCATTTCAACCATATTAACGTTTAGACTTAATTTAAAGTAGTATTTTATAAAAAATTAATCCTTGCAATATTTAGTTTTTAGCGATTTATAAATAATTACTCAAATAACTAAACTTATTAACACCTAACAGCTTAGCTACCAAAGCTATTAAAACAACTAATAAAACAACTAATTATGCTGTACAGACCCATTGTTTAATAGTCTGATTAAATTGTTACCAAGCACACCATTAGCTGGCTTTTTTATTTTTTTGTGTAGTACGTGGAAAAAAAATTAATACAGAAAGGTGTTTTCTTATGCAAATCAGGCACAAAAGAACCAATCAATTAAAATGAAGAATTTTTTACAGCATACAATTAGGCAAATTTAAAAAACTATGCCTAAGATGAGCAACTAGATTAGTGGAAGCCCAAAATACAATAAGAAAGGTGCATATTCTTTCTTCTTCACCATGGCAAACACACACACATACATTCACTCACTATCAAAACCTGATTATACTCGCTTTGTTAGTTTATATTTAGTTCTATACTTGATCATCTGGTCCACCAAGCATGACCTGCCATTGCACCATTTTATAGGTTAAAAAATCTTAATTTGAAAAAGAGAGAAAAAAAAAAGTGATAAACCTTAAAAAGAAAGGTTACTGATTAGAGTATCTTTTCCATAATTTATAGCTTATTTGTGTTACAAATTCATAACCTTCATAAACATTAGCTGTAGACAAAATAAAAAATAAAAATAATAACAATAAAAGAAAGGAAAAGGAAAGTCCATTTGAAAAGCTTCAACAAATGTCTCATACTTTTCCAAAATATTTGAGGAGGAGAGTTTTTAGCAAAATATTTGATAACGTTCTTTTGATCTACCTTAGTAAGATGCATGAACACAGACAAAACTTTTCATGCTTAACAAAGTCATCTCACCATATAAGAAGTTCAGAAAATTATCACTCACATTGCAATCATGAGCATATTTCCTGGCAAGCATTATCGCTGCATTCCTTTCTCGTTCTGATTCAAATGTCAACACAAATGAAAGGCCTTTCCTCGGTTGCCAAAACAATGCCTTTGCTGCGGTATTGCAATCAGCTCGAACCCCACATAACTGTAGGTCAGAAAAGTGTACGTGTAAGGAATTCTTATTGGGGAAATTATGCTGATAAAATAAACTAACCACGTTAATTTCAAGACTGAAGGAAATAAGCACATATTTCTTTCTCTTTTTTTTTCCTCTCAATCAGGAGATCATTAAACCTTCAACTAAAAGATAGCCAGTTCACCCAGTTCAGCGGACGAAGGAGAAAAAATGAAGGAAAAAAAAAAGTGGGGTGAAGGAGCCTTAAAGCAAAGCAGCCATCAAAACTTTTCTTAGTCAAGGACCAAAAGACTGTCCAATTCAAATTGACACTTAACAAACTCAAATTTATTCAATGTTCAATGTACCCATAAAATTCTTAGCTTGTCAATCACCTCCATTTTACACAAGTATTAGTCCAAGCAAAACAGTTACCTGCATAGATGCGGAATAAATATCTCGAGCCTTTGTAATCCACCCTCTGCAAAGCTTTATCCTCATTTTTCCCACGTTAAATATATGAACCGAATGTGATGGATTATCTTGTCCATTCATTTGAGAAATAACTACCTATATAGCACAATATCAAATTACCCAATTAAGTAAGAAGCACGGAATCTTTCATGAAACAAATGATAGATAAATAAAATTTCAGGAAGAGTCAAAAAGAAGGAAAGACATGGCAACTGTGCACTCTAGTAACTGCAATCAGGTCAAAGATAATTGCTGACACAAAGAACCACATCCATGAAGCCCAGGTTCATGATGCAAAGGTCAAGATTGTAGATTTAGGTGAAACAACCCCATAACTTTTACATGAACCAAAAATTGTACCATGGGGGTGCTAACATTCAAAAACACAGATGGCAGCAATCGAGCAAAGAAAAATAGCAGTCAAAAGATGTTACAACTTTCTTAGTAACCAATTAATAAACCATCACAAAAACCTGAATGAACACTGTTTAGAAATGGTGATATAATATTGTCCGTCAAAACCAGTTCAAAAATGCTTAATACTTTGAAACTTAAACTTCAAATAAATCTTTCCTTTTTTCCTTTTTCTCTTTTTTTGACAAGTCAATTAACTTAGTCACCCTACAAGAGAACTTGCAACAATTTGTTTTTACTCCACATCATAAGAAATGTAAGCTTGGAAAAGCTTTCAGTAAACAATAATCAGACAATCAAATTAACAATAAGTTTTTGTTTCTTAGGGAAGGAAGTATTTGCCTGTGACAATTAGAAAACATGGCAAAACATATAGCCAAATGTCAACATTCTTCCAATTACATTTGGAACCTGGCAATAAGTTATGGTTCTAGGAACCTGGTAACCTGCAGCACCCCAACTTAGAGTGTATCCCAAAATAATTAACACTCTCATTAAAGAGTTTTGTACAAGATAATAAAATCATATTGATGAAGTCCTCCAGAATTAGATCCTTGAAAATGAGCTAACTAATTAGTCTGAGGCAAACAAAATTGATACTTGGATTCTGAGATAGAAAGTAGAAAACTAGAGTCATTCTTGAAAAGTTGAAAATGGACTAATTATTCAAAAGGTACAAACTGCAAATCTAGCGTCTTTAATAGTGGCAACCACAAGATAAGATGGTAAGGCACTGCTCACCCTAAAAAGTTGTTAAAGATGGTGGTGTTACCATCAATTACGGGGCTGTTAAAAATATTGGTAGATAAACATGCAGTATGGCAGTTGTGTTTAGATGTTGAATGCAAAGGTGTAGTGGTTGTTATGACAAAGATGGAGGTGGTGTAGTGATTGTTATGACAAAGGTGGATTTGTAATGGTGTCAGAATCGAAAGCCATAACATTTCTAATCTAAGCATTCTGACTAAGTTGAACATAATACCCTCCAGAACTAGGCAAAAATTTAAAATCTACGATGTTGTTAAGACTAAATCAATTTAATTTGGAAAGTATATTATAAAGAGTGTTTCCAGCATATGAAACTTTCCACTTCGCAAGGGTGAAAAGAGGATTATTTATTGTAATAAAAATAAAAATATCATAATTTGCTACCACTAGCATTCACATATTGATGGAAAACAAATAGAAAAATGAAGTGGGGATTGTTGACTTGGGTATAGACTAATTAGGAGAAATTTATTCTTGCCTTGTCTATTTTCCTATTGAAAATTAGATTTGTCTTCCTATTTAGAATTGTATACTTGTATTAAATAGGATGTGTTGATGTCATTGAATATACAGAAATCAATAAACAATTTTCTCCATAATCTCTAAAAATCAACTTGGTAACAGAGCTTGATTCGGAAGTTGTAGAAACTGAGTTTTCAGGGCGCAGGGCACCGGATCGTATTTGTGCTATTAAAGGGTTTTTGGGTGGAGGTGAAGTACAACACCCCTAGAAAGAAGCCCAGCTGCCGGCGACTCACTCATCAAAATCCGGTGATCGTCTGACCAAGCGTGTGATCTCACATGCCTGAAGTAATATCCGGCCTCTCTTCCACGCGCCGGCGCATGGCACCTATTTCTGGCAACTGGTCTTGACGCGACTTCTTCCGATCGACTTCCCTCACTCCGGCGATTCTATTTCAGGCTCCAAAGTTGACTTTCGTTCAGGTTTCAGTTAATCCCTTTTTATTTGAACAACAACCTACTGTTTCTTTCAACTTTTTTGACTCCTCTCCTTTTGTTTAGTTGAACATAGGTGATATAAAAAAGACCGGTGAAAATAATGAAACCACTAAAATCAAATCCAGTTTTTCTAATGATAATCTCTTTGCAAATCAGTCCCATAAAGCTTGATGGCACTAATTTCCTTGCTTGGTCAAGGTCTTGTCTCTTATTTATTAAAGCTAGAGGACTTCAGGGATACCTTATTGGAACTAAAATCCAACCTGAAACAACCAGTCCAATGTTTGATAAATGGGATTCTGAAAATTCTCGTCATGTCTTGGCTTATTAATTCCATGCAACTTCAGATTTCTAGTGGATATTTGATGCTGGATGCTGTAGAAATAATTTGGAAGATTGTTTCCCAAACTTATTCTCAACATAGGAATGATGCACAAGTATATGAAGTTCGAAACAAAGCAAAGGTGAGATGACCATTGATCAATATTATACTGAATTAAATAGTTTGTGGTAGAAACTTGATTACTATGAAGATTATCATCCCATGTGAGGCTGATGTGGTATATCAGAGGAAAGTCGAGAAGGGGTGTATATATGATTTTCTTACAAGTTTGAACACTGAATATTGATTCAAATCTTGGGAAAAGACCCTATGCCTTCGTTGCAACAGACATATTCCTATGTTCAACATGAAGAAAGCCAGAGAATTGTCGTGCTTACTATTGCTTTTGTTGAGAAATCCGGACTTCATGCTTCTCAGCCTGCACAAAATCCTCAAATTTCTTCCAATAAAGACCAGTTAGTGTGTGATTACTTTGGAAAGCCAAGACATACTAAAGAATCATGTTGGAAATTGCATGGACGACCAACTAGGGGTCGTGGTGGTAAAAGGATGAGTTCCTCTAGACTTGTTGCACACCAAGCTGAAAAAGTAGTAGTACCTGAAGCATCATCTGCTGAGAGTTTCTCTATTGAAGAGGTACAATCACTAAAGCGTCTTTTGTCAAAATTCGAGTCTTCATCCACCTCCGCTTCTTCCAATTTTGTGCAATCAAGTATGGCCCTTCTTGCTAATTCTATTGATGATGACTCGTGGGTTATAGATTCAAGAGCAAACAAACATATGATAGGCTCTTCTGATAAATTCATAACCTATTCATCTTGTTTTGGCAAAGAATCTGTTCGCATTGCAAATGGTTCTTTTGCACCTATTGGCACAGGTTCTATTAAGTGTACACCGGCCATTGATTTAACTTATGTCCTTCATATACCCAGTTTTCCTGTAAACCTTTTTGTCAATGCTATTACAAAAGCCCTGAATTGCAAAGTTGAATTTTTTTTCTACTCATTGTGTTTTGAAGGATCTGAGAACAGGGAAAACGACTGATTTTGGTAGATTGCATGATGGCTTATATCTTCTGGAAAAGAGCTATAAATCTTGCTTTAAATCTTTTCATAATATGATTAGTACATAATTTAATGAAGGTTAAAATTTTGAGAACTAATAACGGAACTGAGTATGTGAATAGCATGTTTCAGGCTTACTTAGACTCTCATAGAATCATACATCAAACTAACTATGTGAATACTAGTGCTCAAAATGGGCTGTCTGAGAGGAAAAATAGGCATCTACTTGAGGTAGCTAGATCCCTTTTATTCACCATGAATGTTCCCAAGCCTTATTGGGGAGATGCAGTGCTCTCTGCAGCTTATCTTATTAATAGAATGCCTCTTAGAACACTCAATTTCAAAAGTATGCATGCTTCCTGCAGCTTATCTTAATTAATAGAATGCCTCTAGAACACTCCAATTTCAAAAGTCCTAATGAACACTCAATTTCAAAAGTCCTATAGTTGCTTTACAAGGTAGTACCTCATATATTGTTCCTCCAAAAGTATTTGGTTGTGTTTGTTTTGTTCATCACAGGCATAGAGGCAAGTTGGAACCTAGAGCTCTGAAATGTGTGTTTGTTGGTTACTCTGCTACTCAAAAGGGGTATAAGTGTTATCATCCCCCTTCCTGCAAATGCTTTGCAAGTATGGATGTGACCTTTAGAAGTCTGAGCCTTATTTCTCCCAAACTCCTCTTCATGGGAAGATTAGGTTAGAAGAGGAGTCCCCATTAGCTCCTATATCAATATCTGTTCCTGAACAATTTGTGAATATAAGCACTAGTGATGAGCGAGAACCTAAAAAGGGTAGACTTGATAGGCCAAATTTAAAGAGGCACAGTCGAAGAGAGAAGGTTCATGTCATCACACATGATACACCTGGTCAATCGTCATCTTTGCAATCAGATCTTGAAAATCTGTGTGGTGAGTCCTCTATAACTCCGAGTTCTAATTCTGATGCAATTCCTTCTGTTGATATTTCTGACTCTGACCCTATAGTTGTTAATGTCGATCTTCCCGTTGCTCTCAGAAAAGGGGGTTAGAACTTGTACCAAACATCCTATATCCCAATTTGTTTATTACGACTCTTTATCACCTTCCTATAGAGCCTTTGTGTTGTCTGTTTCTTCTATTCCACAGAATTGGTAGGAAGCATATCAGGATCCAAAATGGAAAGCAACAATGGTGGAGGAGATGAAAGATTTGGCAAAGAATGAAACTTGGGAACTTGTTACCCCTTCATTAGGGAAGAAACCAGTGGATGCAAATGGGTATTCACGATAAAACACAATGCAGATGGCACAGTTGAAAGATACAAAGCCAGATTGGTAGCAAAGAGATTTACTCAGACCTATGGATTGAGCAATCAGGAGACTTTTGTTCCAGTTGCAAAGATGAACACCATTATAGTCATGTTGACCTGTGCAACCAACTTGGAATGGGGCTTGCATTAATTTGATGTCAAAAATGCTTTTTTGCATGGTGATCTAAAAGAAGTATACATGGCTATTCCTCCAGGCTTTGATAATGAGAAAACCAAAGGTAAGATTTGTAGATTGAAGAAGGCATTGTATGGGTTGAAACAATCACCTAGAGCATGGTTCGATAGATTCAGTAAGGCCATGATTTCCTTTGGGTATTCTCAAAGTAATGTTGATCATAGCTTGTTTATCAAACATTGTAATAGTAAGATCACTTTATTAATTGTCTATGTTGATGATATGGTTGTGACTAGAGATGATGAAGAAGAGATTGCTCGCTTAAAAAAGTTGTTGGCTTAGGAGTTTGAGATGACTTAGGGAGTCTGAGATACTTTCTGGGTATAGAAGTTGCTAGATCGGATAAAGGGATCTTTCTCTCTCAAAGGAAATGTTGGCTTAGGAGTTTGAGATGACTTAGGGAGTCTGAGATACTTTCTGGGTATAGAAGTTGCTAGATCGGATAAAGGGATCTTTCTCTCTCAAAGGAAATATATCATGGATCTCTTAAAAGAAACTGGCATGTTGGGTTTTGGCATGTTGGGTTCTAAACCAGCTGATTCTGCCATTGAAATTAATCACAAATTGCAAGCAGTAATGGGAGAATCGGTTGACTTGGGTCAATATCAGAGATTGGTAGGCAGATTGATTTGTCTCTCACATATTAGGCCTGATATAGCATATGTTGTAAGTCTAGTTAGTCAATATATGCATGATCCACGTAGTTCTCATCTTGACGCTGTCTTTCGCATTTTAAGATATCTAACGTCTGCGCCTGGAAGAGGTCTACTTATCTCTAAGCAGGTTCAGCTAAAAATTGAAGCCTTTTCTAATGCTGATTGGGCTAGATCTCCAAATGATAGTAGGTCAATTTCTAGTTATTGTACCTTTGTTGGAGGAAACTTAGTTACTTGAAGAAGTAAAAAGCAGACTGTAGTGGCACGTTCGATTGCAGAAGTGGAATATAGAGCCATGGCTCAAGGGGTCCGTGAACTGTTATGGCTAAGGAAGATAATGGAAGAATTGCAAATGTTCAAAGGAGAAGATTCAACTTTGTTTTGCGAACAAGGCCGCCATTAGTATTGCCCAAAATCCAATTCAGCATGATTGGACAAAGCAAATAGAGATTGATAGACGTTTTATAAAAGAAAAAATCATCCAAGGTGTTTTGAAACTTACTCATGTGACTTCAGAGAATCAGATTGCAAATGTTCTTATTAAAAGGCTTAATAGCAAACAGTTCCATAATTTGGTTTGCAAGTTGGACATGTACAATATCTATGCACCAACTTGAGGGGGAATGTTGACTTGTGTATAGACTAATTAGAAGAAATTTATTCTTGCCTCATCTATTTTTCCTACTTAGAATTAGATGTGTTTTCCTATTTAGAATTGTATACTAGTATATAAATAGGATGAATTGATGTCATTGAATATACAGAAATCAATAAACAATTTTCTCCATAATCTCTAAAATCAACTGGAATAGTTTACAGCAGATTCTGGAATCAAACTTTCTGTTGCACCCTAAAGACGGGATCCAATTCATAACGAAAAAGAAGATAAAAAGAACAGATTGGGGAGGAAGAAGAAAAAGGGGAGATAAGGATAGCCTAAATTTAAATGGGTATTTATTCAAATGTAATGAACAGAGATCAACAAGATCCCAATTCCAAAAACTTGTTTGAGGCATAGTTGTGCCAAAAAATATATAAAACCGTGATTAGCATGATTGCTTATGATTCAATCACATACCACGTATAAAGTCTGAACATGTAAAGATCAAAATTTTAAGTGTAATGAATATTGATGTTGATGTTATCTGTGTGCTTTGTGCATGCATACACAAATTAAAGTCTAACCATAGAAACAACGAGCATGGAGCTACATACATTAAATTCCGAGCTAGATTTTCGCAAAAGTGTCTCTACATAGCTTCCCAATCCTGCAGCTGTTGAAAGCAATTTTATGAGCATTCTTCTCATGTTCTCTATTTATTTTTATAGCGTAGGAAGCACAAAAGTATTGGAGGAACCTAATTTTTGCAATCTCGTTCAGACTATAAGAAAATAGTTGAAAAAAATAAAAAAAAAATTGCAAATATGGATATTAACACAATTCATATTTTGTTGTCAACACTAACCTGTTTCAATGGGACCATCAGTCGTCACACTGGCTTTATGACCATCTGAAATGATTTCTGCTTGCAATATCCGTCCAACATCAAGCGGTTCAGGAGCATAAATGCATTTATTGGCACCTGTTGAATCAAAAATTAAATCACAAGAGATAGAGCTGGATGCAAGATAACAAATCTAAAAAGTTCGTGGAAATAAAAATTCAGTTCTGGATTTTCTGGAATCCAATGAGATGAAAATTGCAGTAAATTAAAAATAGAATAACAAATGACACTTGTTTAACTAGAGAAAGTATGCTGCGTATGTCATCATTGGAGTATAATATAGGATTTGGATTTTCAGCCCTTAAAACTAGTTGATGTACATAACTTAACCAAGCCAATGCCAAGATGCAAAATAAGTTTTAGTCCAAATAAAATCACAGAAAAGTACTTCCCAAAACCATAAATTTTTTCAATACATGCCCTTTTTCTTGTGCATGTGCACATGCATGTTGGAGAACATGGAGTTGGCAAACAGCTAAAAGTCAAAGTACGTATTTTTAGAGCAATGAAGTTTGCAAGATTTTAAAACAAATCATATTCGATATTACTATCCATGGGATTAAATGCATTTCATTTTCAACAAAAAGCAGATCAATATTCTATTGTGCATTGGCCTTAAGTAAGTCCTTCATAAGATTTGCAATGTTATAGGACTCTAAGTTTGACAAATATTACTAACAAATACATTTGGAAACCCACTAGAAAGAAAAATGAACATATAGCTGACACCTTTTCTCATTTTACTTTTATTTTTACTCTCAAGTGATTCTCTCTCTCTCTCTCTCTCTCTCTCTTTAAATCTATCACATTTCTTTCTATCTTCATCTCTTCATGCATCACTTTTTCCTAGAGAGATTCTTGCAACCAGCTGACTGGTTTGAGAAGAGACTTGCGTATACACATGGTGTGGCTGCAAGTTCAATGGTCAGAATATTCTTCCTTTTCTTTGGAATTATTCCTAGTATCATCCTTCTTTCCAAACAAATTTTATTTCTTGTCATCTCCTACTTGCTCTCTTCTAAGCCTATTTCCTCTTTCTCAATCTGTTTTTCCCCCTCTCCAAAAATAAACTTATATTAAAAACAAAAGGATCTTTGTTTTCATTCTATTTTCAGCAAAATGACTTCAACAGTATTACACATGCTATGCAATGTTGTTGTCTTAAAATGAACAGCTACACTGTATTTCATGCATGCAGATTAAAGACTTGAAGAGATAGAGAAGTTTACTGGAAAGCTAATTTTGATAATATTCTTAAGTGGAATAGCCTTATATGCAGCAATTTTTTAGCGAAGTAACTTAGATTTCATGCTAGGATATTGCCATTGTTGGTAAATTTTGGTTTAACTTTCAGGTGGGTTATATTGTCGGCCTTGGCGACAGACATGCCATGGATATCTTGATTGATTAAACCAAAGCAGAAGTTGTTCACATAGATCTTGGTGTTGCTTTTGAACAAGGCTTGATGCTCAAGACAGCAGAGTGGATTTGTTTCCCTTTTAGCTTTGTTTAGTTTGTTGATAAAGCTTTGATGTCTACTCTTATTGCTGTCACCTGCTTTGGACCAACTTTGGCAGGTTCCATTTGGACTGACAAGAGACATAATTGACGGCATGGGGGTTGCTGGAGTGGAAGGAGTTTTCAGAAAATGCTGTGAGGAAACTTTTGCTGTTAAAGCCTAAAGCATAATCTGGACTACACTTATCCTATAGTGAATTCCAAAACAAGCAACAAACTTGAATACTCTCTCCATCCACAAATTATAGTCTTTCATTTTGGCATGGAGATTGAGAAAATTTATTTGAAGAACAACTTTACCCTCATATATTATTTAATATTTAGCGAAAAAACTAGCACAAAAATCAATGAGGATCATTGGAGGATATTATTGGCAAAACAATGTTGCGCAAAAAGGAAATAAGGATTATTGTTTGTGGACAAAGGGAGTATTGAGTATTTGCCAAGAAAGCACTATGTTTCAGGAAGCGCGTCCTTAACATGAATCCATTATTTCACAACAAAAAAAAAAAAAAAAAAAAAAAAAAAAAAAAAAAAAAAAAAAAAAAAAAAAAAAAAAAAAAAAAAAAAAAAAAAACCATACAAAACCATTAGAAGTGTCTTTTCTGAAAATATAGCCTTTGACCTTATTGAACTGAGATTAGTTTAATCAGAGGCTGTGTAAGTTATGATATTTTATGGCCAAGAGGACAAATTTTTTTAAAAAGCTACGAACGTAAGAATACCTGAAATAACTTCTTTTTGGCTGCCATCAGATGATACACGATACCACTGAATTGAACACTTTGAAAGCGGTGGTGCAGACACATCTGATTTAGGACGAAGTTGCAGACATGAACCTAGAGTTTCAGAACCATCCAGGGCATATGGAGAGGATCTATTCTCCTCAGCTCTCTTGCTCTTTGCCAGCTGAAAGGATAAGGGCATTAATAATGCAAGACAATAACAATGCGTGATTAACTGAACATGCTCATCAAATGTCAGGAAATAGCGACAGGCAAAATTCAGAGAAATACAGAAAGCAAAAAACTTAATGAAAGAACCGAGTGCCTATGTATACAGTAAGAATATGCTCTCAACTTCTGGGAAGGCTTGACCAGCTCAACAGCCAAAGCATAAATTACATCATACATGTTTCAAATGGGTTGCAAACGTGCAAACATCACCATCTATAGCATGCAACATAATGGAGAAATATGAATTTGTCAATTATTAACCAGCTGTCTCAGCTAAGTGTCATAAATTTCAGCTTAATTCCATAAAACAAGTTCTGAATTCAAAAATCTTTGTTATCAAATTGAGGGAAAATCTTGACTAAGATAACATTTCTGTCTCAAGTCATTAAATTTAATGTGATTCCCAGGAACGTCAACCTATCAGCAAAAAATATGTTCTAAAAATCACAGATAGTTGATGGAGGAAATCGTTTATTTTAATTAAAAGGTCTACTAATTCAGCTTTTTGAATATTTCATGCCACAAAGCTTGGGCAGAATAATTGTTCCAGATGTAATAATTTTCTATTAATAATTTATTACATTCTGCCCTCTACTTATTTAATAAGTGCAAACCCATCAAGATCCAAGACCTATCATTGGTATCCAGCCAAGTCCAAGAGCAAATTATCAAAGCTAATTTTGGTCTTTCAATCACAAATCATAGCATACTAATATCCAAGAAATATATACTACTGCATTAAGACTGAGGAAAAGTATAAGAAAAAAGATAGTTCACCAAAGATTAGAAGAAATGCAATTAGATGTATTCTAGCCTTATGAAGTTAAGGAATAAATAGTTATGAAAGGTACATCATGCCTATCAAGTCACTGAAAATAGTTATCAAAGTCATGTGCCTAAAGAAGCAAACCTGAATAAATGAAGTTAAGGAATAAATATTCACAAATAGCTTAACTAACCTCCTTCTGAAGTTTAACTGAAACAATTGATTTCTCCCGAATCTGTTTTCTCAGTGCAAGAAGTTCATGCTCCATGTCCATCACCTATAATAATTGCAATTTACCAGTAAGGAGAAAAGATGTCATCACATCATTACAACTAAAAATACTTCGAAGTTTCGCACATAAACTTCCTCAGAAAAATAAGGTATGAACCCCAAAGAAAAAGTAGAGAGAGAGAGAGAGAGACGAAGAAGAAGAAGAAGAAGAAGAAGAATTCAGGAAATGTGATGACAAGAACCAAGAAGTATTGCACAAGCAAATTATTTGCCAACAACAGCTTCTTCCCCCACCACAAAACAAAAGGCGAGAGATCAGAAGCAAATGAAATATGAAAAGAAGAAAAGCATTCCTTTTAAATGAATTAAAATAGTCTAAACTTGATTAGATGACTATATTAAAATTTAACAGGATATTAATTAATTTAAGAAACTTTTTCCCTGTTATATGCAAGATTTGCTTCCATCCCTCTATAATCTAAATGAGTTAAAATATGTAAGGTTTGGAAGTCTACTTAGTTCAGTGAAATTTTCCTCTTTCTCATATGGATGCCAATGTATCTCTGCACAACAGGATAATAAGCCAGATCCTCAAACAGCCTGTACAAATCTAGGAAAAGAATAATGATGTACCTTGCTTGGCTGATGCAATAATTTAATTCTTCTAGCTTCCTGAACTTCCTCAATTAGTTCCTCCACATCCTGCCATAGCATCAATTTCATTGAAAGATAATCTCAGCACATAATTGAAAGGCATACCATATTGCAGGACTGGAAGACAAGGTGAAACTCTTAACAAAGAAATTGAAAAAATAAATAAATAAATAAAGATTGAAGCTTCCTGCTTCCATAATAAAGGATCATAATACTTTGACAGTAACCATCGAAGTCCTTTTCTATGGAACCCTTCATTTAGTGTACAGCTTTATTTTATGCATTTCCGTTGCAGTTCTTTCTGTATGATGCATACCCAGTATAAGCACAAACAAAATGAATTTTAACCCAGCAAATGACTAACTATTCGATAATATCTACAAGTTCCACCTCACTACTTAAAAAGCATTAACTTCAAATTTCAGAAACCGTATTGGTAAAAGTCTGGAATTTTTTTCCCTCTCTTGACATCGGTCATCACTTTCGATCTTATCTTGATTGAGTATCAACTAAAGTTCTAGTTTACCACAATACAGATGAAGAATAACGTTTCCCTCATTTTTAAGTTATTGAGAAAATATTGGATGCATATCAGAGCCATATTCCTGAGTATTAGGTTTAATTAGCTAAGTTAAATCAGATAAAGTGATATGTGCATTAATACGAACAAAGATCATTCACTTTTGGTTATAAATGAGAAAAAAGTAAAGTCACCTAATCAATGATTATGGAAAGATTAATAAAAATCAATAACAAAAAGACTCACAGGAGCATGGTTTTTGGAATTCTGAGCATTCTTTTCTTCCTCCTCCAAAGCCTCTCCAAACCTCTGTACAACTGCCCTGGCACTTTCAATTTCAGCACAAGCAAAAGATTTTTCTTGGTTGACCAACTTTTTAGCATCTTCAGAAGCCTGTAGATAAAATTAAACGCTCATATTTGCTAATGAAATAGGAGGCAAGAAAAGTTGCATCAGAAGTTAGCCAACTGAATGGTGATAATTAGGAATGTCATCGCATGAGACATTATGCAGCAGTTACCAAAAGCAATTATTATTTGGAGAGAAATTTTATTTTAACAGACGAACCACAGTATAGACACAATCCAAAATTTCTTTTCTATATCATTAGAGCATTTAACGCAAAAGATATTAATATTTTAGATTATAGTTATAAAAAATAATATTGAACTCCAAAACATACTGAATGCATAATTCCATTAACATTTGCAAGAAATTAACGTAAAAATATGAATAACTACATAATATATCTAACAGAGGAGTATTCAATTGAAGAATCTAGTTTACAATACTCATTCCTTCTATTTCTTTCTTTTCCAATAAAGCAAAGTTATAGCATAATTAACAGACCTGCTTAAGAAAGTTGGCCAGCTTTTTCACTTCAAACTTCTCTTGAATTAATTCCCCTTCTTTCTGAGTTAATTTAACTGCTAGAGCCTCCACCTGTGCAAAATGTAATATTTGACGATGATTATCATTCTAAGTACAGAAAAGGGACCATAAATACATTCAACATTTTACATGCATTAGGAATTTCTCCCTCAGTTAAAATACGTGCTTCTGTGAGCCTAACTACACACACTTACATGCACACAGAATAACCAAGTGATCAAGATTAATGGCACAAAAGCGAAAAGTAAAGAACTATAAGCTACCTGAGGAATCTAATTAATATAAAGGCATAATATTCACATTGAAAAGATCAAACGTGTTACCATTTGCAACCACACTCAATGACTTATATTTTTCTAATAAAAGAATGCTAGTCATCCATCAACTATAGCAAAGGGGACATGTTCCTATCTGTGATATCTAAAGAAAATAAATGATTCAACAGAATGGCTATCAATATGCTAAAACATATCTATGTTGACCTCCCAAAGAAAACTAAAATCCCAGCATCTACAGAAATAAGGACCACACAAATAATGCCTCTCCTTCAGTATGCCAACTTGAAGCCATGAGCCTCAAGCATTCTCCAACTCTCATTGTTTCAAAACACAACATTATATGGCTGCCTCATAGAAACATTAACCTAGCCTTAAGCCTCCCTATACATGAAAACTTCAGGCATTTGAAAATGAATGATGCAGAGAAAATCATATTAATATTCTTGAGATGAGATTTTTTCCTTAACTCAGAACAAGATAGCATAGGACCTAAGACCAATTTTTGATTACTCTAGTTTACATGGACACCTGGACTAAGGCAAGGCTACTACAATGCCATATCACTGCTGTGAGATTAAATGATAGATGACCCAAACCCAGATTTATCAAACCAGCCAAATTCACCCTATAATCAAGGAAGGTTCATCATATGGAAAGGATTTCTATGTATAAATATAGCAACATATTCAAGGTGAGTGTTAAAGTTCTACTCAATGTCAAAGCTCAAATTTGTAGGTGAGGATTAAAAATAGGTTTTGTAAGTCTCACATGCCCTCTCATGTGAAAGCCCACTGAAGTTGTAGAATTATTAGAAGCATGGGCGATATTAACCTTTAGTTGAAATTTAACTAAAACTATCGAAATGCTCAAGATAATTCTTATGGAAGTCTTGGATATTCTGTCAAACAACCACTCAACTTAAAATTTCAAACTGTAGGTGAGGGGGGAAAATGATAAGTTGACAGCATTTGGCATTATTTACAATATGACTACAGTGAACTATTGAGCAAGAGGATACCCATTAATTGTGTTTAATGAAACTGCTATAGAAACTAGTGCATGAGGAAAGATAACAGTGAAGGGAAAGAAATGCTAACCATAGATATAGCTTTCTCTACATCCTCCTTGTTTCGCCCTGCCATACGTCCTCTTAAAGATTCCAATGCATCTCTGAGCTTTTTTAAAAGAACATGTCCTTCCAAAGAAGCCACCTCTCTAAGCTTTGCCTGAACGACAAGAAAGATGAATACTAATCATTTAGCCATTTATCCTCATCACTATGAGAAGACCATATGCTTTTAGGACTAGGGCTATAACATGCTAAACTGACATATTAAATAAGGGGAAAAAACCATGGCTCTCATTGAGCTAAGGAGAAAACCATGTTGACCATTGGAATGACATGTTCATAGATCCACAACAAACTAAAATAAAAATAAATAAATGATATAACTAAGAAGCAAAAAAGTTAAAAGTTTGAGAACCTCCTCAGCTAACTTAGCAGCAGAAGCCAAATTCTTGTCAAATTTACTAGCAAGATCACGAACTGAGAGGCGCTTGTGCTGATCTGACAGCTGCATAGTTTCTTGTTCAACAACCTCCTTTAAGGATGGACCTTTAGTATCCTCTTTGGGCTCTTCCAATATCTGATTGTCAGGGCCCAATTTATACCTTGGAAATTGATTAGAAGCAAAGCTCACATCAGCAGAAACTGGAAGAATTACTTCCATCCGCATCTTTTCTTCTATTTCAGGACTTATCTTTGTCATTGATTCAGATTAAATTCACTGTTTTCCACAAACCAAACAAAAGGGAAACCTCAACCATCAGATCTTTCATAATGCAAAAGTGAAATTATACAATCTAAATGTATGAAATTTCAATCTAATCAATTCACAGTAAGCCTCCAGCTGTTTATAAAACATCTTGTTGTGCAGCATGTTTTAAGAAGACAAGCAAAAGGTTTTGCCATTCTTGATCAACCAATGTTACTCATCACCCAAATGAAACAAAAAAACAAAACCCAAGAACGAAGGTATCATTTTGATATCAAGTAGAAGAAAGGAAATGGGAATTAAAAATGAAGAAATTAAAAGGCATTCCATGTATTAGTGTAAGCATGTAATGAATTTTGGTAATAGATGCAAATAATAAAAACTAGATTTCAACTAAATTGCAAACTAAAAGCCACATTGTTAACTTCTTTATTCACAGAAAAAAGTGTTCATCAATCTGCAATAACTTGTGGTCCAATGTTAGCAATGCAAAATTTGCCAAGCCGCTGTGATAATAAACACTAAAAGTGAAAATAAAAAAATAAAAAAAAAAAAAGATGAAAAAGGGAAAGCCATCCCAATAAAGCCTTCACAAAGTAATAAAGAAGTTAAATCAAAATCCATAGGATTTTTAAGTAAATCCATTCTTGCAAAGAGAATTACTCATGAAAATTTTATGTTTAACAAGTTCCTGGTTCTGAACTACATTTCAACAATATCAACCCACTTTACCAAATCTCTACATACCACAAATTCTTCATCAATCTCCACAAAATTTTTACCAAAAAAACAGTCAGCAAAAAAATAATTCCAACAATCTGACAGCTGTTAATCCCTCGACAACCCCCAAGCAAAAGAGTCCACTTTCTGATAATGACAATAAAGACAAAAGAAATTTACCCAAAAGCATAAAAAGGAAACACAAAACCTTAATGATTAAACAAAATGTTGAAAACCCAGATGAAGAAATTTCAGAAATGCAGCTAGAAAACAAGAGGTAGAAACAAAGACTTACATTCACCAGTCAATGTGTAACCAAAGCACAAAACAAAAATGTTAGAACCAGCACATGTAGAAGGATTGTCAAGCAGGCAGGTTGACAGAACAAGATTATAGAGAGAGAATGTGAATTAAGAAAGAGAAGGGCGTGGAGAAGAAGAATCTAAGGAATGGTTTTTGGGGTCTTTGCTTTTTTTAAAGTAGGACAGGGAGAAAGAGAGGCAGAGGGAGAGAGAGAAGAAAAAGCCTATGCTGGTACCACCACCTCTCTCTCTATTTCTCTTGTTTGGTGTTTCTAATGTCTAGCATCTCCTCTATCCCAACAACTTGAATGTTTTTATTACACTTCCTTTCTTCATTGTTTTAGTTTTTTGGATTGGTTTCCTTACTCCCACCATCATTGCAATTTCTGTTAAAAGATGTGTCTCTGGTCAAATAGTATAAAGGGAAAGCCTCTCTCTCACCATGCGCTGGTCCCACTTCTTACTGTTGGTCCCACCTTAGGGTTCTTACTGTGGCAGAAGGTTTGGCTGGCAGGTTGGCTTTGCCAAAAGTGAAGCACCCCTTAATTACGTGCTATTTACGTAGTTGCCACTGCTGTTTATTTTTTGTGTACCACATATCAGTAATCCGGATAATAGGAAATGCTTCGGGTCTTCTTGTACCATCCTTTCCGAAGGTCTTTCAGTCAAATCCTGTGCACGAAAAAGAAAAACACTCCCTGGCGTGTATTGTTCGGCCAAAGAATTTAAAATATAAAATTTATTTATAAATGAATATTCACTATTGATATATTTCTTTCATCCCCAAACCATAATTTAGTTCATCTTTTTTTGCATAATTTGTTTTAAAATATAGTCTATTTTTTTAATTATAGTTAATCCTTAAATTGTTTATTATACCCTTATTAAATTTTATTTTATTTTCAACGACTCTTGTCACTTTTTACTTATTATTTCAATATAATAATCATTTATGTGTTATTTAATATGAGTATAATAGAAATTATTTTTTAACCATAATAATTGTTAATTTTTTAATTTGTATGAGAATAGAAAATGGATTATCTTTTTGGGACTAAAAAAATAATTATTTTAAAATATGTAATTCAATTGAATTTCATATAATCATGCATGTATAAATTCCTAATTGAAAATCCATTTACTTTTATTTTCTAAAATATCCTTGCAACAGTAATTTCACAATATAAATTTAAAATCCCATCCTTTACTCTTTATTTTCTAAACTATCTCTGCAACAGTATTTCACATACTATATATATATATATATATACTATATATCATATAATATAATTTTGAAACAAAAAATGTTTTATAAAAAAGCTAACTTGGTGTTTTTTTTTGAGTTTATTTGCATTCTTTTTTCCATTTTTTTAGAAATTTCTGAGTTTATTTATTATTTATTTATATTATGATTGAACCACTTACAAAATAACTTTTATTAATAACTTTTAAATTTCAAATCTTATATTTATATAATTGTTTAAAATAACAAAATATATCTTATCAATATCTTTTTAGTATTTAAAACTTTTTTTTACTTGGTTTGAAATTCAAAAATATATAATTTTAAAATTTTTGAATTTCATTTTTTTTGAAAATTTTCATTTTTTTTTCTATATAAGGCAAGCTTATAAGGGTTTTGCAAAGCAGCTTTTATTCCAGATTTGTTTTACAACCTTCTTAATTCGTATGGGTTTTCGGTGCAATATTAATTCTTGTTCTTTACTTATGTTTAGTTATCAATATCTTTTTAGTATTTAAAACTTTTTTTTACTTGGTTTGAAATTCAAAAATATATAATTTTAAAATTTTTGAATTTCATTTTTTTCTATATAAGCAAGCTAAGGTTGCAAAGCAGCTTACCAATTTGTTACACCTATCTTAATTTATGGGTTCGGTGCATATTAATTCTTTGTTCTTTACTTATGTAGTTTTGCACTATTTTCTTTCTGTTTCTTTTTTTCTTTTTATTTTCAAATATATTATTGTATTGTTGTTGAATCAACTTCTATTTCTATATATGTTGCTTTTATTTCAAGATGCATATGAAGATCAATAGAAAAACTCATAGAAAATTGTTGTTTATATACTTTCAGCGATGTAAATTGCTCTCTTTCATTTTTCTCTTTCTCTCAGCGCAAAGAACATTGAAAATTTCTTTCATAATTTATCTACAATCTCGAGTACTGTTCTTTTGCTCTATAATGGTTTCAAGAAGAGAAGCACAGAGAAAGTGAGAAGATGATAAAATAAGATTAGATTTTCATTTACTTTTGATTTATTTCCTTATTGAAGGAATTTATAGTGCAACCATGCTCATATTTTCATTTTTTTGCCATTGGTACGAAGTGAAAGGAATAAGTATTGATTTGCATATAATCATGAATCATCATGGAATTTTCTCTCCTTTTCTCTTTTAGCTCAAGTTGATTCTTATGTGTATGTATATGTGAGTGTGTATATGTGTGTGTGTGTGTGATAAGTCTTATGATAAACCATTTTTCATTATCAATGAAGGTAGTTACTTAATATTGCACACCACTAGGCAATTATTATTATTATTATCATTATTAGGCAACTTTACCTAAAAAATACTATGCAATTGTTATTAGATAAGTTTAAAAAAATGATCTATCAATATATGTACACTAAAATAATTTATTTTTTTGAATTGTATTGTTAAATTAAATTTAAAGTTCTTTAAATTAATTTTTAACTTTTCTGCAAATGGTCTATAATTCATTATTAATCTCAAAAAAATATATATTATATAATCTGGTAATAAAACAACCCATGTATTGCATGAACTTTCGCCTCGTTATATTTATATTATGCTATATATTTTTTATATTTTTATTAAATTATATAAAATAAAAATATTAATAAAATTATTGCATTTAATTTAGTGATAAATGTATATTTAACTTTAATCTCTTTTTCAATAGTAAAAAAATGCTAAAAATATTAAAAAAAAGATGAAAAATATTTAAATCAAAAACACAATAATAAGAAAATATTATTTTTAAAAAAAAATTATTAAATGGTTTTGGTCAAGTTTGATAAAATAAATAAGTTAAGCAAGTAAAAAAATTGAAAAATTGACTTGATAGAAGGAGAAAGATAATTTTATCATAAAAATTGGATTGTTTAGTTTTGTGGTGAATTGATAGAAGGAGAAGAGCTAATAGAGTGTTGACGCGTGTTTTTGTGCCCCCGCCTGATCCAATGATGATACGAGGATGTGGAATGAAAGGTTAATACCATCTAGAAGTCTTTTAATTTAAGGATTTAAATTAAACCAATTTTACAATGATGATACGAGGATGTGGAATGAATGGGTTAATGTTATCTAGAAGTCTTTAATCCAAGGATTTAAATTAAATTAATTTTAAGTGTCTGACTGGGTCAGAGTTGCGTCACGCAGCTATGAAGGTGCGTGACGGCACTATAGCTGCGTCACGCAGCTCTACTGAAACTCAGATTTGCATGTCGTCGTCAAGAATGATGACATGCCATTTTTCATGCTAAACGACATGTAGTAGCGGCACAACAAGAAAGCTGCGTCACGCGACTGACTAGATCCGTCACGCAACTATGCTCTGTTGCCCTACTTTTATAAATAGATCTTTTTCTCATGTTTGAAATAACTTTTGGGGAACGATTCTGAAACCCTAAAAAAACACGTCCTGCGGCCACATTCTCCTCTAGAAGCTCTTTTGAGTTCGTTTGAAGGAGAATTGCCATTAGATATTAATTCTAGGTGAATCAAACTAGAAAAAATGAGAGAAAATTAAGAGAGAAAAGAGTGAACATTTAAATCCTTATTGACAAAGCTTCTGGATCGCCTTAACCATCGTTCGTTAAGCCGTTTACAATCCTCATGTTGACGAAGCCTTCTGGATGGATAGCGCCTGAAACGCACTGCGCATTAAAGACATATACAAAATCCTTAATCTTGAGGATTAAGGTAATTTCCTTTTTACACTTTTTATGTTTTTTTATTCATTATGAATTAATTGTAATCTTGTATTGTTTTTTAGTAGTTTAATCTTTATTGAATTTAATATTCTGATTTGGTTATTTGGTCATTCGAGTTGTCCTAAATTATTTAAATAAAAAAACGCTTTAAAACAAAAGAGTTCGGACCAAAGGCAGGTTGCGTCCACACAGCCAGTAGATCCCGTAACGGATCTGGCAGTTGCGTGACGGAACTGTATCAATGTCCAAAATTGTCATTTCTTTTACCCCAGAACAGCTGCGTCAGCGACAGGCTATCGGTCAGTCAACGCAACTGTTCTTAGCCAAGAAAACAGCTTGCGTGACGCGAAGCTGGTTCTTGTCAAAGAACAGGCTTGCGGTGACGCGACTGTTCTTGCCAAAAGAACAGCTTGCGTGACGCGACTGTTCTAGGGGTTTCCAGAAATAATTTTATTCTTTTTTTTGAAAAAAAAATAATTTTGGTACAAAAATAAAGATTTTATTTTTCCAATAAATCCGAAATGACCATTATGAACAGATTGTAATTTGAATTAAGTTTTAAGAATATTAAGAACGTAATTATGCATGATTTTGGGTTTTCGGTTTTTGGGTTCAAATTTTTTTATTCGGGGTAGAAATGTATTTTTAGGTTCGGTTTTATAGCCCGCCCTTGACCAATAAGGCAAGAGCGGTCTTTTATTTATTTGATTAAACTGCTTTGGTTTGGATGATTTGGATGATTTGGAATGCAATGAAATTGGACATTTGATTGGGAACGATTTATTTTAATTTTCCCATATAAAGACTACCGGTTCGATTCATTCTGGTGTTGGGTTTTAAAAATAAATAAATAATTTTTTGCTTTTTCTAACTAAAATTAAATTAGCAATCGTAAGGTTAAAAAGAGGGTTCGGTTTTTCCGGCGTCGGCTTTCCAACGGCCGACGTACCATTCCCTTACCCCAGAATCGGCAATTGGTGGCGCCTGACCGCATTGGTGCGCCTGACCAGTTTTCTAAATAATTTGGCCTTGAATAAAGTCGGGTTTAAATGGAGTCATCTTTTTATAAAATTGGAAATGGTCCCATTTCCAAAATAATGGGTGGCGACTCAAAAATATTTTATAAGACTGATATATTGGCATCGTATCCAATAAAATATTTTGTCACCACTGTTCTTAATAAGATCATTTTCCATCAAAGCAAAAAGGTGACGTTTTTCGAGTCGCTCGGGGGCGGTGTGAAAACAGATTGGCGACTCCGCTGGGGATGCATCCACTAATCCCTGGTTATTTTTTAAATAACTAGTCGGTTGCAATTAAGAATTAACTCTAAAAACCTACGTTTTCTAAAATTGGAAATAAAAAATTGGTTAGAAAGCCGTAGGAAAATTCTTTAATCGTCCTTGTTTGTTTATTTGCTT